CCCACTGTATGTCCAGTATATACTGACGACAGAAAACACCACAAAATGCTAAATACAATACTACAAAATGTATTAAATTGCATGTCTGTACAGAATGAACCACAATATTACTGTAAAATGAGAAACATTTTATCTGATAAAACCTAATTGCCATGCTTCTGAATCTCTGTTATTCTGCAAACAAAAGCTGCATATCACTGTGTTTCTCTGTACCTGAGAGTTTTGATCAGTTGGCATGTTTTTGACCATTGATCTTTAGGCCTGAGTAACATCATTGGTGTGATAGTGTACATTTCTGCCGCTCTGGGTGACATTTCCCCAAAGAAGGACGAGGATAAGAAATGGCAGTACTCCTACGGCTGGTCCTTCTACTTTGGTGGGCTGTCCTTCATCCTGGCTGAGATGGTGGGCGTGTTGGCGGTAAACATCTACATCGAGAAGAACAAGGAGCTCCGCTGTCGCTCTCGCACTGATATCTTTAAAAGCACCACTCACGCCATGCTACGGCTCCCAAGCTACCGTTTCCGCCGCAGATCGCGTTCCAGCTCTCGATCCACCGACCCCTCACACTCACGAGACCCGTCTCCCGTGGGTGGCCCACCGGGGGGTAAGAACTTCGGAATGCCCCCGTCTGCTTTACTCTCCCAGGGGCCCATCTCTGTGTCCACTCTTCCCAACCCTCACTCCCGCTCCGCTCTGCCAGGGGGCGATATTTCCCTTTACACCCTCTCCCGAGACCCCAAACTGGATGGTTTAGGAGGGCTGGGAGCCCCTCCACTGTACGGCACCGTGGACCGTGCCACACTATACCAGCTGCAGAACTGCTTCCCTAAAGAGAGCGGAGGAGGCATGATGATGAGTGGGACGCTGCCCTTGCTCAAATCCCACAATCCCTCAGCTGTCCAGAATTCTTCCAACTCCAACGCGCCGCTCAGCAACTCCGTCTCATCCTCCCAGCCTCCACCTTTCTCCTCCTCTACGGTGGAGCGGGAACGAGGGATGGGAACGCTGGATAGGCTAGGAAAAGCTGACAGAGAGAGTAACTCCAACACACTAAACAGGAAAACTACACCAGTGTAGACAGATAGAGGGTTGGTGTAGATAACGTAGCCGGAAAGACTGGAAACAACTAAAAGAAGGGGTAACACTCATGGCATTGACAAATGTTTCACTTTATGAAAAAATAAAGAGTAAAAGAATTACAGAGACCTCATAATAACAACAACACTCATGTGTTTTTCAGTACTGTTTTATAACGTGTAATCTTAATGAAACTATAATCATGGGATACTGTGATATTATTATTGATTTTAGATGTGGAATTTCAAGACGGTGAAGTGTTGTTGTTATTACGACAACGTTTGATCTGCTAGCTCTCAACTTGTTGAATGATTCTAGTTTTTAAACTAGAAAGAGTATTATGCTTATCAAAAATCCAAAACGTGATACTGAGCACTGCAGAAACATGAGTGTATTCAATATGTGAGAATGAGATTATTATTACAACTAACTTTGTGAGAAGCATTTTATTTATTTTAAAGAAAGTTTTATTTTCTACCCTTTGATAACATGCAATTTAGTGTGTAATATCTGTATATCCGTCTTCCAGCTCAGTAAAGAGATCAGCACCATAATTGATGGACTGAAATGACAAAGAGTTCAAATGAAAAAAGATTTTTATATAAACCTACCATCATATTATTTTTGTTAACATCACTGTTAGCAGTAGAAGTAGCACTTGTTGCATTGAAAATCTTTGTTTTGGGGCATTAAAACGTTCCCTCACTTGGTAAAAGAGGGACAAGATGATATATTTGTATAGACAAAATGATGAATGATGACATTCAGAAGAGGGACTTCTATCCAAAACTGTGCTTTTCAAATCGGAGCGAGGGAGAGAGGATGGAAAAAAAATACATTTTGAAAAGCAAATGTTTTTTTTATTTGGAAAAAAAAAAGATACTTTAAAAATCTAGAGTACAGATGTGAAAGGGGGTCTTCATGTATTGAAAAGGGCAGAATGGGTGGGTGGGTGGGGCTTTTTTGAATATGAATGAGG